GTGGTGTTCGTGGTGTTGAGCGTGCTTTCATTCGAGAGCACACCGTCACTGTCGAGAAGGAAGACAGGTCTCTTATGCACTCAAAGAACAACGATCTGTGCAAGGAATGGGTTCTTGACACTACCGGTACTTCCTTGGCTGAAGTGCTGGCCATTGAGGGTGTGGACGCAACTAAGACATACTCCAATTCCTTCATTGAAATCCTTGGAGTACTTGGTATTGAAGCAGCCCGAGCTGGTCTTCTCAAGGAGTTGGGTATGGTCTTGTCCTTTGACGGTTCTTATGTCAACCATCGCCACATGGCATTGCTTGTCGACATCATGTGCCAGCGCGGTCTTCTCATGGCTATCACTCGTCATGGTATCAACCGAAACGATACTGGTGCCCTGATGCGTTGTTCTTTCGAAGAGACTGTAGAAATTCTTCTCGAGGCTGCTGGTTTCGGTGAGCTTGACGACTGCCGTGGTGTTTCTGAAAACATTATGCTTGGTCAACTTGCCCCCATGGGTACCGGAGAGTTTGATGTTGTCATGGACAATGCCATGCTGCTCACCATGGTCGAGGACAACTCCAAGGCAATGGGCGCCGCTGCAGGCAACTACGTGGTTGGCGGTGCAGACACACCGTACCTCAACTCACCTACATATGATGGCAGTATTGGCCTTGGCTCTTATGACCAGGTGTCCTTCTCACCCATTGCTGCCGCAGGTGGCAGTGGTGATATAGGTGGCTTTACAGACTACGGAGGCACCTATGGTGGTGGCCTTAGTCCGTTTGATGGAGGCAGAAGTCCAGGCTCCGGCTTCACTGGCATGTCGCCGGGCTTCACTAGCCCCGTGTCGCCAGGCTTCTCTCCTACTTCGCCCGGCTACTCGCCTACTTCTCCAGGAATCGCCAGTCCTCGTTTTGCTGCTACATCTCCAGGGTACATGGCGTCTCCTACGTCGCCCCACTACTCTCCGACTTCGCCTCGCTATGGCTCGCCTACGTCGCCTTCGTACTCGCCTACATCTCCAGCCGGCTACTCCCCGACGTCACCTCAATATTCACCAACGTCGCCAAACTACAGCCCAACATCCCCCACGTTTATGGGCGGTGCTACATCACCCGCGTACAGTCCGACGTCGCCACAGTACAGCCCGACCTCCCCCCAGTACAGTCCCACAAGTCCACAGTACCAAGCAGGCAGCGATCGTCGCTCTCCCACATCTCCCACATCCCCTCAGTACAGCCCGACGTCTCCCCGATACTCGCCCACTAGCCCTGCTGGTGCCTTCTCTCCAACCTCGCCAAGATACAGCCCGACTTCTCCGGGTCCGGCGTACTCTCCCACGTAGGTTACCCACGGTCATAGTTGTAGACGACTTCTTTTGTTGTAGTATATGCTGACTTTGACGTAGATCTCCAAAGCAGTAGGCGGCTTGTTGATGTAAGGCTTCTTATTTCTTCATTGTTTTATATCGAAATCTGTTCTCTTCTTGGGATGATTTGGACGAACTCTTTACTGAAGTTGAGCAAGCTACCTTGGTGTCTGTCCGCTCTCTTGGTGAAAGGTTCGACTTAACTTCCTATCAACCCCATCACGGCTGGTCTCGTACGGCAGGTCGTATCTGCAAGCGGTCGTTCCTTTAACTAGGCTCACGTCCTTTTCAACACGTTCTGTTCGACGACTGATGGGTTTACCTCGCATGCGCCTCATTACAATGCTTTCTCGCGAAACCAAGTGTGTACAACAACAACACAACCCTTACTACCCAAGCTGCGACTTTAGCGGCACCAAAAATCTGCTCATCAACCACGCCACGAGATTGGACCTTTTTGCATACACACCCTAATTTTGAGGGTAGTATCGGCGTTTATTTTCATGGCTCTTGTCTTTGTCTTTCTCATTCCACTGCAAAAAAATATATATGCAAGGCGTTTGCGTGTGTGGGACTTGCTTTGCATTCCTGATATACACTCTAAAGAGGTGTTTGCGCTTTGATTCTTTATTGGTTTCTGCACTTTCATCACTAGAACGATCACAACATTCAGTAGCCCGCTCAAATCGCGCATTGGGGCTTTTTGTTTTCTTGTTAGCTGGAGAACCAGATTGGGGAGGATGCGAGATGGGGAGATGTTTGAAACGTCTGCATTACGAGCGGCGAGTTATAGTAGCAACTGCGTCGACGTACGCGATATGAGTTATAATAAGAAATTCACGAAAAGTTGGGAGAGTCTTTGTTTGTCCTGAGGTGTTGTGACATTGAGTGAGAATGAAGCAGCTGCCAATAACAAGCTATTGGTCATATGAAGTGATTGCGCAATTCGTTGCGGCGGAAGACCTTGAAAATTTGAATTCATTCAAAGCAGAACTGGGTGAAGAGAGACTGTGCCTTCTCATACTCATCAAGCGTCATTCATATGCAGATTGACTTGAGAAGCAAAAGTGGGGAAGTATCACGTGCACTGGCGTTGGTGGATTTTAGACGACGCTAGCGCGTCTTCAGCGAGCTACAAAACCCCGCCAAAATTATTTCTCTGTTCTGCAACGGCCTGCCTTGCCAAAGCTGCGTTTCTTTGCATACATTCAGACGCTCTTTACCGAGTTGTCCCAACGTGCAAATGAGAAATTCGGAGTAATCTTCACTTTTTATCATGCCCCCCTTCGAAAGAAGGGGAGCTGTACTGCTCGTAAGAGCCTGGCGTGACTCACGTCTGCACTCGGCATCAGAAAGCTCAGGGCCCAGAAAGCGCGTCTTTTTTTCTTGCTTCGGCAGGAGAGCGCGTGGAACTGGTGTCCCTATGGGAGTCGGTGCGAAGATTGTGTGTCTTGACCCGGTAGGGAAGAGGCGACACTGTAGTACAATACGCAGCGTACTTGACCTTGAGTAGCCCTTTGGGTGAAAAAGGGCACAGTATCATTCGATTCTGATTACTCTGGCGAGGCAGGCCGTTCACTCTTATTTTTTTTCTATGTAAGTCTGATTCTTCCAACGCATCATGTAGTTCAAGGATACTGCTAATGAAAAGTTTCATAATATGCTAGGACAAAATAACGTTCTGCGCCATGTTCCCCTACCCTCAGGTGATATGGTCTATCTTTTTCGCTCTGTCGAACTGTCTGTCACTCTATACATAATATCTGTTCGTAGCGTGAATTTTTGCCCACGCACCACATCGTCACCACTATGGATCATAAGACGGTGCTGGAACAACAGGACCCGACCGACTTTTGGTACAACGTCTACACGCTTCCGCATGTTTCCACTGAAGAAAGTTGTGGCACCGCCTTCCAGCTGTGCTTCGCCATCTTTGCCGACAGCATCGTTGAGGTATAAATGCAGGGTGAAGTATGAGCGCTCAGTACCATCAGGCGTCTCGTATGAGCCATCACAATGAGCTGCTCTAGTCAGTAGGTGTATTACGTCTACCTGATTCAAGACTCACGTTTGAAGTATTCGCCACCAACGTACTTGAGAAACCTTGCCCGTTCGTTCAGCCTAGTCAGTACCCAAGTCTCTCCCCGCCGCACAGGACCATTTCCCGTAACTTCTACCCAGTTTTGTAAAGTGTGGATTTCCGGTACAGATGGTGCTATTCTCGCCCAGAGTTTGTCCATAAGCTCCTTGTTGTCCCAGATGATGCGGCCGCACTTCCTTGTATCCTCATACATGGCCTGCATGCCACCACCTACATTCACCATTGCTCGCTCCCATTTACCGTCGGTTGTTGCCTCGGCTCCTTTGATCAAGGTTTCGCATTCTTCTTCGGTTAAGACGCCGTCTAGGACGACGGCCCAGGACTTTTCACATTCCGGTATTCCGGCTTCTTTGAAGTTGATCTTGGACTTTGTAAGATTGGGTGCTGGGCCCTCGAGGAAACCCGGAGGTAGTGTAGAAGATGGGGGTGGGGGTGAAGGCAGTTTGCTAGTGGTAGCCATGGTTGCTAGATGCCTGTGACTGCTTCGAAAAGGAGTGCGACACAAAAGCAAAGGCCGCAGCCGCATTAGGCTGCTCATCTTATATGTATAGGCCCAACAAGGCTGTAGATACACAGAAAGAAGTGTGTAAAGACTGCTGCCTGCTTCAGCCCCAGGGCCCTAGTGGCGTTGAACAACACAAGTGGTGGCCTATCACCGTGCCTGGCGAAGGTCTAGACATGACTCTTGAGGCTTTTCCGAACAGCACACAGCGGAAATCGAGGGCTTTCAGCGGCGCCTGCTTGGACGTCCCCCATGGTGCCCCTAGCTAGCGTATAAATAGCAACCAGCAAAAGAAACGGCATTGATCGCCAAGGAATACTCACCGCTGACGTCTGCTCACTACTACGTATTATACGGCTTGTCGCCCTCCTGACAACCGTTGTCATCCGAGCTCGCCGGGTACCACGGTCGTCAGCATGGGCATGGGAAATCACGTGAGGCATGGTACCTGCGTGGAGCCATCGTGTTTCAGGCCTTTGGCAGCAATGCCAACTCCCACAATGGATGCACAAAGATCAATGAAAGACGCAGACCTTATGTACTACACAGCATCAAGTCGCAAATGACGTGACACGAGGCTTCAGCTACTGCGACCCTCACCATCATACACGGCGTGAATCGACGCCGCACCGCAAGCAAGCCACTGCCGCTCGCTCCACCAACCGTTGTGCCAAGCTGGGGCCCCAACCTCACTCCTAATCTCCCATTCTTCACGCTAGGTTCAACGACGTGTCGACACGCGCAACCACTACGCCCGCACCTCTCCCAAGGGCGACCCCTCCCGTCGACCAGCTGCTGTCGCCTGTCTCGAGGTGCCACCTACCACCAACTCCCCTTCTACCCGACCATCCGCACATCTCCCGTCGTTCATGCAGCCTGCGCATTGCTAGTCAACCAAGAGCCGCAAACAAGCAAACGCATTGCGGGCTCTGTGCCCTTCACCAGACCCTGTGTCTATCGATAGTCTTCATTCTTCGTCCACCAGCGACACCTGTCGCGCGCCTCTCGCTACCACCCCATCCACCTATCCGCAGCCATGTCGCACCCTGATGACAAGGTCTCTATGGACTACGGTCCCGTCCGCAACCGCTTCCCGACGCTCTTTGAGGTGTTGAGCCGCAAGACGGTCGCACCTCTAGATCTCTTCTCCTTTTACATCTACATGCGAGACCAGCAGCGATCGGTCGACTACCTAGACTTCTGGTACGATGATCGCACCCAGGGGAGTTGCGATAAGCTAACAAACCACCAGGCTCGATGTCTCACAGCACTTGCAGCTATGCCGCCTTTATGTCCGTAGATTACATCGCAGTATGATTGAGGGAACACCCGATCTGGACAACCACAGGTATTCGAATTTTGCCATGGACAATGGTGGAGAAGGACCATCCAATGAAAAAGGCGACAACATGTCCGACCAGCGATTGTCCGCCTTCCTTCGCTCCGAACGTGGAAGTCCCAACCATTCGCCGCAGCACAGCCAAGGCAGCAACCAGACTGGCGACTTTCAAAGACCGAGTGCGCATATGTCCGAGACACCCGGTGATTCGAGCTCGCCTGGCCACAACTCATCTTTCGACAACACGCAGCCAGGGAGAGAGGACCTACGTGCATCGGCAGAAAAGATTCTCTACACATATCTGCTTCCAGGCTCAGAACGAGAGATTATCATTCCCCAGAGCATTTTGTCCGATGTCCAAGAAGCGATCGAAGGACCGGAGCAGCGTGCAGATCCCGAGCTCTTTGACCAGGCTAAAGACTATGTCTTCCAAGCGATGGAGCGCGATGCATATCCTGGGTTCCTGCAGAACAAGGGCCTTGGCAACCTTGTGCCTCAGAGCATGATGGTGCGCCTGATTGTGGGATTGATCAGCTTCTTCGCGGCCATGTGGACTTCGTTCATTCTCATCTTTCTGGACAAGTCAAGAGCTACACGGTGCTGGGTATGTAATGACGATCTTTACCTGGAAACAAGAGTAGACTAACGATACTTGCAGATCATTCTCCCCTTCACCATTGCTATATACCTGATATTCACCCACCAGTACATGCTCGACCCCATCATTGCCCTTGCGGGTTACAGCGAGTACACTTTCTTCGATTTCAACAAGATCAGGGAACCGTTTGTGAAGAAGACGCTCGCAAGACGCTCCCTGACGGTCCTGCTCATGTTCTTGGTAGTCACAGTAGCCCTGTGCTGCCTCTTCATCTTCGTTCCAGGCAAGCGCCTGTGATTATGACGGCCAAGTAGTCGTCTGGTTTTACTTTCGAATGTGTAATGTTTTTGCTTCCATTCTTTGGCGTTTTCATCTGCATGAAATGGATGGCTGCGGTGGCGGCTTGAAAGGGAGGATATGCAGATGTACGTCAAGTGGGCGATGGATAAGATACCCCCTCGCTCCGTCGATACACGACCTATAGCAGGACTTCCTTTTGTTTCTTTGGTTCGAGGCTTGTTTTTGATGTCTTCTGGTTATGGACAGCCAGTCTCCAGGTAGAGAGCATGGCGTTCTGGAGTTAGTACCAGGCATTCAGTTAGCAAGCTCAATGGATATACAACATCCGTAACAACACAATTATATCTGTAATTGCACGAGTGACGTGATGGCTTTGTGATATGCATGCACCCGCGATGAACGTTTGGCGAACCGTTAGCATGTGGAGATGGATACTTAGGGTGCATGCATGCCAAGGCGCAATGACGTGAACCCGGGCCGGGCTCGACGGCTTCAAGTGTCAACACCACGTGCATTGTCGGTGCAACTCGCGCTGCAACAGCTGCAATTCACCAGATCGCGATTGAGATTCCGTCTAACAGTTCTGTACACGTCCTCTGTTACCATATTCGCGGGAATTGCGAACTAGTAGCTCCCAGCTGATCCTCGAAACTACGGCCACTAGTCAAGTGGATTGCAACGACCAGCAAAATGAGCGGACCAACTGCTAAGAGCAAGAGAGGGCCGACGGTGCTTATGACCGATGCTCGCGACAACACTCCCAGAGCACCACGACCACCACAGCGACCCAGCGCTGTACAGAGGCAGAGCACCAACGCGCGACTCATCTCGGTCGACAACATTCTGCAGTACGCTTCCGACATCCCCAGCCAGCAACGACGAGGCCCGCCGGGCAGTCGACCTATGGTTCACACGCGCACCCCCAGCGGTCGGCACCCGCTCGACCCCAGGCTCTCTGGTCGCCTGATCCCTCAGCACATGCCGACGCGATCAAGCAAGCTCAGCGAAAAACTAGTCCTCCTACCCGAGACGGATGGACAAGAAGAGGAAGAGAAGACTGAATTTGACGACGACGAGTTCGACGGCCCACCTACCGACGAGGATCTTGCGAGACGGACAACAAAGGGCGGCCCCAATGATAAAAGCTATGCGGAGCGATTGCCCAAAGCCAGGAGAACGGACAAGCTCTCGCGCGTCACAGCCTACTGCACTACGCAGGCGTACAAAATGAAGGCCACTGCTCAGTTTGTCAAGGACCAACACCATGCGCGTACCAAGCTGTACGATGATTGTCTGTACACTGTGTATCATCTCCCACTCTTGCCAGGAAGCGACGGCTACCGAGTCCGCAGCAGCCCAGCGCTGAAGAGTCCGGGCGGAAAGACGGTGCTCGACGAGGAAATTGAGCGCAACGAGCAACGTGACCACCACGAGGGATACTTTGGCAACGAGGAAACCTATTTCGTGCGTGACGACCATGAACTAGACCACCCCTACAACCAAACGCTCGACCGCAGAGACTCGGCCGAGAACTCAAGAGTTGCGCCCAATGCGCTGAGTTTTGGCGAGATGTTTGTCTTTTCCTACGGCGTAGCGGTCTTTTGGAACTTTACCGAGAAGCAAGAGAAGGATATCCTCGCAGACTTGACCTTTTCCTCCACTGCCACTGGCGTCTCGCTCGCAACAAGGCCCTTAACCGAGTCCGACTTTGAGACGGAAGAATTCCACTTTGAATACAACCCGGAAATTCAACGCCCACGCGTGTACAACGATATGATTACTCTGAAGAGCGGCGACCATATGATCAAGTTGGCTATGAGCCACGCAATTGCTCAAAGCACGAAACTCAGCTTGTTCGAAGAAGGCATGAACAGAACTATGCTCGCAGCACAAAACGTACCGAAGCGTCTAGCCCTGACAGGCAAACTGGGAATGCGGAGAACAGACGTCGTCAAAATGATCGGCCAGCTCTTCACCAGTCGCGTTGAAGTGAATCTCTGTACGTCTATCTATCCAATCCTAAATTCCCCCCCCCCCTTGCTAACTTGCATCTCAACAGCCTCCAACATGCTCGACACCCCCAGCTTCTTCTGGGACGCAGAGCCCACCCTGCACCCCCTCTATACCGCCGTCCGTGAATACCTCGAAATCAAACCCCGCATTCAGGTCCTCAACGAGCGCTGCCAAGTCTTCCTCGACCTCGGCGAAATCCTCTCGGACTCCATTAGCGACCGCAAAATGACCAAGATTACCTGGATCATCATCGTGCTCATTGTACTCAGTATCTGCATTACGTGTCTGGAGGTGCTGCTGCGGTTTGCCATTTTGCAGAAGGGAAAGATGAATGTGCCGGTTTCTGGAGGTGGAGTGGGGAGCTTGAATGCGGTCGAGAGGATGAAGGGGATGGGACCGCCTGCATATGCTGGGCCTGGGTTGCTGGCTGCGAGGGGGTTGGTTTGGATTGGGGGTGGAGTTAAGAGTTTGGTTGTTGGGTAGTAGATGTGAATTCGTGAGATAATACTGATATTTATTGATACGGCGTTGGTGTTATGTGGAATACAATAAGGAATGATGTAGGTATCATTTAGTATCTTGGGGAAGACTTACAACTCGTCCGCTGGCTTTTTGGCTGGTAAAACATAGCGAAGGGCGTTTAGGTTGTATTTTATTTCTTTACATTCTGCACATTATAATAGACCGGTTGTGCTACTCAAGTACCACGTCTGTTTTCTCTTTGCCTAATTTCTCGGAGTCTACTCAGCGTGTGTAGGTGTAACAACAATACACACATTCTCAATCCCTATACAACCCCGCCTCAATTCCAACCCCATAAGCATATATTCCTCGAGTCCAAATCGGAATATATACTAAGTAGTCGGTATCATATCCACCCATTGTTTTCTTCCTTCAAAATATGGAAAAATACAAGGTAAGGTACATAATCATACTCCTCTCCCCCTTGTGTTCTTGTTCAAAGAAACCGCACTTGGAATCACTCTATAACACGCGGAAGATGAGGGAAATACACTATACCCAACTCCCTTTTCTCACATCACTTACCTATCAGCGATCTCTTGATACTCTTTACAAATCTTCTATTCAAAACTAAATATTCCACTACGTGTACTACTTCTTTCCGTTAACCTACACCGTATCACTATACCCTCACATCCTGTCCGTTGATTTAATTAAAAAAACCAGGGGAGTAGTGATATCTAACCTATGTATTTGTTCTTTTCCTATCAATAACTGTTTAGAGGATAGGATAGAGAACGATAATAGGTCTTTGTAAAGGAAAAAAAGTGTTGGGTTGTAACAGACTCGTCTCTTTTAAGGTGTTTCTTGCTTGATGTGTATTTGGGACGTGTAAGGTAGTTATGCGAAAGGAAACAATGAAGATGGGTGTGTAAGAGTGAGATTATTATAAAGGGTGGTTGATTTTTTGTATTTGGGTGTAGGAAAGAGGAGAGGGTGGAGGATGGGAGGCTACAAGGTATGCTGTGTACGAGTTGGAATACGTTGTATGTAGTTGAGGACTAAGAGATGAGAGCTTCTCTGGTTATAGGTTGTATGGGGAAGGGAGTATAGAGATTGTGTGTTGGGCTGGTTTTGTAGAGACATATAATCATCAGGTAATCCGAAGACCAACAGAGGAAGCAGTGAGGTAGAAAGAGAATGTGTAGTATGATATTAGAGAAAGAGGATAAGAGTCTTTGGATATAACAGTAGGATGAAAAAGGAGTGATGTGAATCTAGCCACAAGAACTCCGTAATGTTCAGTTTAGGTTATAGGGCATACCCAATACCAATTTCATCAACCTCCACCATTCTACTCTGCGTCCACCGCAAACTTCTTCAAATCCTCCATGGCCACTCCCCTCAAAGCCTTCTCATTTGTAGCCTTGAGCACAACCTTGGGCACCTTCTTATCATCGGGTCCCGTCCGCGCATCAAACGCTTCCTTCCACCGACTCACACACAAACACCACTTGCAGCCATCCGTCAGCCCCACCTGGCGCAAATCATTCCCACGGGCCGCCGAAAAGTCCAGAAACTCCTTTGAAACAATGCCCGCAATGGCATGGTTACCCGCATCCGACGGTGGCACCTCGCAGTATTCAGTTCGCGTGAAGCCCGTTAGCGGTTGAGTCGAGTGTAGTGCGAGGGGCTGTTTGAAAACTATACATCTCCCCCCAAAAGAGCCTGGTTAGCAAAAAAAACGTATCCATCTTTTTCTCGTCAATCGTGGGAAAATTCTCCGCAAAGAAGGGTAATGCATGAAACCCGCCCCTACACCCCTCCCCTTTCGCTCAACCTTGGAACGAAAAATCCCTGAAACACGCGGTGCCTGACAATCACACAACAACAACCGCCCCAAACCCTGTTTCATACAAAATGAACCAAAAAGGGGGGCGGGCCACAGCTCTTTTCTCCCCCCCCCCATGCCCGGAAATAAAATAAAAATCCAGGCACAAAAACCGGTCGGGGGTCCAGGCGCATTCCTTTACCCCCACCCAAGGGAGGGGGAGGAGTCGATACAGAGAGAGAGTGTGTGTGTGTGGGAAAGAAGGGAGTAGGGGGGAGGGGGATCCAAACTCTTCTACATCCAATAAATTCAAACATACCATTCAGCGCCATCTTCGCCGTATCCTTTGTATCCTCCTTCCCACTCAACACACCCTCCCACTTAATCTGCACGTCGTGAACGCGCGCGTACTCGCGTTTACTCGGCGAGCGAATGAGATTCGACAGTAGTGTGCGTAGTATGCGCATCAGCCACACACAGCAATAATGGAGAAAACCGAAAAAAAAGAGACGTCAGAAAGAAGGGAGAAGTTGGAAATTCCAAAGTCCAGTTCTGTTTAACTGTTTGGGCTGTGTCGATGTGTCAAAGGAAAAGAATCAATGATGCTCAATAATTGCGTCACTCTCTTCTCCTCCCTTCTCCCTTAGTGCCATCCGGTTTCGTTCGGTACGCATGTAGGGCTGAGAAATCCAACCACCGCCTTCCTTCCCTCCCCCCCCCCGGCTCCACTAAG